TATAAGATTTACATTTTCCCAATTTATCACTCATTTTAAATATTATAAATACTACACTAAATATTCACTTATTCTTTATCTAAATTTAATTATGAATTCTTCTGTCAAAATGTATTTAAAACTTTTCTATTTATCAAAAAATTATTTTTATTTCGTTTCAAATTAAAATTCTTGCAGTAATTGTAATTATTTGGACAATAATAATAATAATAGTAATACCTATTCCTAAGTTATATATAAGAAGAGATTGTCTGCTATTCTATGCTATTCTATAGTATTTTATAATTTATAGCACAATAGTATTTCTCCACAATAATATGTGGTATGAGTTGCATAATTGTGATTGATTTGCATTCAAAGTGTTATCGAAAGTGAATTGGGAGCACAAGTAAGCATATCTAATCACCACGGTCATTGCCACCATGCTTTTCACTTATATTATGCAACTATTTTTACTCAATTATTATTGTTATACAACTATGTAATTTTTACAACTATCACTTTTAGTTTAAGTTGTATAACTTTTATAAATTAAATGACTGTGATCTTACTGAAGTCAGATGACCCCCTCCCCCCTCCCCACTAAGTTTTCTAATGTTATTCAATAGTATTGAATCAATACTAGCATTAAATGTTAGCAAAGAATATGCGAATGTCAAACATCTCACATCTATTCGCATATTTTTTGCTAACATTAAATACTATTTAACAATCCTTTGCAATACAATTGAACTAATATTTGAATTGAAGTGCAATTTGAGGATAAATGCGAAGTCTATTGAGAAGTGGAGTAAATATAACGCGAATTACAACTCAATGCCTAAAAGGACCTCAAATTACGTGCAAATAATAAATGTGTGGACAAAACATAGCATTCATTGAAACACATTATAGTCGTTAACAAAGGGTTTGTTTCCACGCTTTACGTCATCTATGAATGCATTGAAACACAAGTTTTCGTTCATATGTTTTGAATGCAATTGAATTAAAATTGAATTTTGCGTTAATTTAACCATTAATTGATTGTTTGGTTTAGAAGTGAAGACAAGTTATCGCTGATAGAAATGCCACCGAAGAAGACGTCGGCGCCTCAGCCCAGCAAAAAGACTGAGACCAAGAAGAAGGATAAGATCATTGAGGTATGCCTTCACACCATTGTGTGCTGTTTTACACGTTTATGTGTTTCTGTTATCTATTGATTGATTTGCACTTCAATTAAAGGACAAGACGTTTGGTTTGAAGAATAAAAAGGGAACAAAACAACAGAAATTCATACAACAGGTTCAGCATCAGGTCAAACAACAGGGCGTCAAACGGGTAT